ATGTATACTGCAGATTTACTAAAACAATAGCCTACTTAAATTTGACCTGCCAATGAATACCCACTTCCATGAAAAATATAATTTAAGAGCTTATTTTTTTCTGATCCGTGTGTGAACATAAAAACATATTTTTTAAGGGGCAGCATAAATTTCTTTTTGGACCCCGATTTGCTTCGCAGAACGACTACGGAATTGTTCTTCGATGTTGTAAGCTTATTCTCGTGTTAACTTAGTTGGTAACATGTTCGCCTCCTAATCTTAGGGACACGTTGTGGTCTAGGTTCGGACCAGGACATAGAGAGACTTCGTTTACTGTTGGGAGCCAACCGTCTAATAAAATGCGAAACATAGAGGTCTTGTGAGCCTAAACGCTGCAAGAGAATTCCTCTTCCAGGTAGCTTCTGCTCGTGGGACCATGTCCCTTTGTAGGCTTACGAATAAACTCCAAGGTAGTTTCACCCATTATCCCTGGAGTTCCATTCTCACAAAAATAATAGGTTTCATACATAAATCAATGTTCAAAATTTTTGAACATTTTGCGCTCGCGATGCTCTGCTAAAATCGGGTCTGCCCGACAGACATAGCTATACCTCACACGTACGAGGTTGCTCACGTATTGAACATGGCATTCCATGCAGAGAGCGCGCGCTAATACGGTAGTGATTGCAGTAACAATGCTTCAGCATAAGCTCGTTGATGCGTATCTACAACTTAGCAGAGCTAGAAGAAGCATCGGATTCAAAGAATGTACGTTGACATGCGATACGCTGAGTGTATCAAAGGATACATTTGCTCACATTGCCTTGAGCAGATGGTTGCGGTAAACTTAGCTGAAGGCCTTAAAGAAATCTAACTTCGTGACCCATTTTACAGTTGTCAAAGTGTATCTATGTCGATCATATGTATGAACATAAACGGGTCCTATAAGCCGTAGTCCGGCATCTTTTTAAAGTCGCATCCCAGCTAAGTGGGTTTACCGAATCAGTTACTGTTTCCGACGCCATTCCAGTATAGATGCACCTCAACGCTGGGGTCGCGTGGTCTGAGCGGGTAATCGATATTCTTTGAGTGCGCAACCGTTAACATCTAGCCATAGGTGGTTCCTATTTGAGCGTTGGAAAGTAGTTACCACTGGTACCACGCCGTATCACAAGTTTGTTGGAGAAAACTTAGGTAAATGTAACTAGGCCTTTTAATGGAAGCAAATCTATAACGCTGTATTTTCGAACACTCGTTCAGACAGTTGGATTAGCCAAGAACGCTAAGAAAAACATTTTGATGTCATATGTTAGTTTGGAGCATCTTAACTCACTGTTAAATGACTACACACGCGGCACTTTATATTTCAAAAAATCGTCATGTCCTTTATTTTTACAATTCTCATAATATCGTCGTCGTCATATCGCCTGCTTCTTTCCATCATCATCATTCGTCAAATGTAGCAAACATATAAGGTCACTGTAATCTTCGTTTTCTTCAAGAGCAAAACGTAATATTTAATAACTTCTTATCTGTATATCATAATTTTTAATGGTATTATTATTATAAATATTAATGGCATTCATTAATAGATATTAATGGCAAGGTCATGGTGCCGCTGGGATTTTTCTTTCTCATTATCGTTTGCCCCATTCGGTTGTGACTACTACTGTGTTTACTCATATTGTAATTTTCTTATAATATTATTTACCATCTATAAATATCTATTTACTTAGTTTTTATAGTAGGATTTGCCCATATATATACATATAGGCAATATATGCTATTTACATGAGCTTTACAGGTAGATCATCTTGATGTCATGTTAATTTTGTGTTGTCGCTATGCTTATCTGCATTAATAAAGATAGAAGAAGGAAACAAGTATAAATATTGTTTGCAATAACTGTTTTTACTACATAAAGAATAGTCAGCGCAAAACATGGGTTAAAGGATATGTTTGTGTTTTATAAAAAAAAAAAGATGTCTTTTGATACTTTCAGGTTTATGGCCTTGTGTAGTAAACAAGTGCGCATGTGTCTAGTTATATGCTACTCTCATAAATAAGCAGCATTTCCATTTTTAAAAAGGCCTTTATGCGACAATTAATCAGTTTCCCAAAAAAATCAACAGACTGAAGTATTTTAAATTGAAACTCCGCATTAATACAGATAAAAGAAAAAACTGGCATTACCGGCATAAACTTACTTTTGAGACATACCAGTTCCTTATACTCAGGGTTCGAGCAAATTACATACGTTCGAAAATAGCCTAGTCGAGACGTAACGAAGGTAATGCCATTTTTTAAATAGCCTTATTATTGTGGCCATCATGCACGCCAAGCATCCCCCCAAATCGCGACGAGCCCCATTTTTCTATAAGGTCGATTTGCCTCTTTCTGGCTCCACCTTGCTCTGTATGGAATGTTATTTATCCTTAGTAACCAACATTGTTTACAGTAACGAAAGTAAACAAATTGGAACTAGGAAGTCAAATTCTTCATACTGATTTGTTTCCCTGGATATAAAATGTATCACAGAGTAATCGTTAACAGCTGTGGCTGACCGAAATTCATTGCCCAATACGGAATAGAAAACGATAAAAAAATAGATCTCTCCTGAACATTGTTTTGAGCCTTTGCAATCTGATCAATTTTCTATTCTTTTTCCGTCGACGCCGTCCTCCGGGAACACGTTTAATTTGTTCAAGTAGTGGTACTAGTAGTAGTAGTAATAATACAGACAAACGTGCGAGTCGAATTATGATTATCATTGTTATTGCGTAGAACGTCAGTAATTATTATCATTACATACAGGTGTACATTGTATGTACGGATAATAATGAAGCGTAAGCGTTGTCATAAAGTGTTGTATTTTTTATTTTTTTTTTTTTAGTTGAAATAAAATATTCTCTGCTAAACTTGGCTGTACGTATATTGTTAACGTGAGGTTTAAAGAAAACACACTATTATGGGAACAAGGTTTAATTTTCAAGAACTTGTAGTATATTCGTGGTAGAAATAGTTTACTTCTTTATTTGTTTACGATCCTTTTTTCCTCCTAGGTATTTCTTGTGTTGATACGCCTTATACTTGATTAACATAACGTCCCCCTGCGTTCTGTCAGTTGTCTCACTGTTGAAAGCCTATCACAAGCAAAACTATCTATTACGGCTAGCAGTACCTGACCAGACCTGCTTAATGCGCTGCGTCGAAACAAAAACAACTTCCGTTTGTGACGTTTTCCAGTTAACTAAATTGCTTAACACAGCCTTAAATAGCCTTACCCTTTTCATATTATTATGTCCATTTTTCACTTGACAGCTATCCATAATAATGTAAAAAGAAAATTTGCCTATATCAAAAGTTCCAACCGATGGTGGATCGGAGCTCGGCTAAGTTGAATCGCCGTTGTCTTTGACATTTCGCCATCTCGAAACGCGCCATACCATTATAAACACAAGCTTGGATCGGCCTGCTATTATTGCGGCGAGAAGATTTACTACCACAGTTAAATGGAATCGCTTTAACTAAATCCGATTGGGGACGAACACTTAGGAGTGTTCCCTGGATAAGTACGTGGTATCAATGGGAGACGAAAATACAAACACAGGTAACAAATATTGGCTATTAATATGAATGCAAAACTACGAGTTGCTTTGATGAGAACGGTTAGGTGAAAACTTTTTAAGTCTTACGGTTATGAAGAGTCTATCAATGATAATTGTCGCCAATAACATCACTAACAGCGACCTGTTTTCGTCCTCTTACCACCTCTTAAATAATCACATGCAGAGTAGCAAGAGTTGGCCTTCACCTGTGTAGAATTAGAAACGTTTCTTTTTTGTTTTTTTAATGAACCCACCTTTATACGAAGATCAAAATTATCACTATAAATAATTACGCAACCGACTAACCGATTACTTCGAGACCAATTATCAGTATCAACAATAATGTGATTACGAAAAAAAAAAAATGGAAATTGCCACACTGAATCACCGTTGTTTGACGACAAGAAGGAATAAATCAACAACGGCTATTACTATATACTTTTTGATGAATAACGTCTCTCATATGCCGGCTCAGTATTACGCGCAGCCACTCTAGAAGCCTGTGCACTTAAGCGGCAACGAGGCACCTCACTTCTTTATTCGTTTTCCATTGTGCGCCGGGAATGGATATCGCGTACGTTGATTGCGAAACTGGACCCACACAAGTCGAATCAGCACACACCCTTTACTCATCGACAGAGTCACCAAGCTGACGTAGGTCTCAACTGAGTCCCTTGCGTATCGCTAATGGCAGACTCAATGTATAGCATCACACACACACAGTGGCTATTCAGCCAATAGCATTTCCCACATACTATTTGCTCGGTCTAGTCGGATCAACACTCCGCAGCCACTTGCTGCGTATACCCTATCATTCTCTCTTTCTTCAACCTTTCCCTTGCTTTTCCTGCTTTGTCAGTCCTAAACATCGTCACAACTGCCTCCGAAAATAGATAAATATCAATACTCGTGCCACTCAATTATAACAACTACTAGCCTATAAAATTCTAATCGCCGCATGGCTCGACTCGTGCTTACAAGCGTGTGCATATTTACAGATACGTGTACAGATGTACATACATATTAGCTAAATGGCATGGCATGACATCTGTAATACGCTGACGAGTGAGGCCACCCCCTTATTTTAATCTGCATTGACCAATTTCATCAACCCAATTTGCGTCATATTGTATCTTGTAGCCTGAGTAGAAAACGATGACTTTACCGCTGTAGACTACAGACGTACGCGTCAGTTAGCCAGTTAAGCACACTAGCACTATTCGTCCGCCCGCGTCTCTTTTATGGCTATTATTAGCCCCATTACGTTAACCCCGTTTCGGTTAACTTCCTGAACAATTTATTACTTCAGCTTGCGCAGTTCCTCAGAACACTGATGCACAATAAAAACGACTGTGGTATTTCAGTGGGTACTGGGTGGTATACAATGATATCGGTGTTTATAATTTGTTTATTTGAATTTGTCTTCCCTGTTCAATAACAGTTCGTCGGCGATATAATTATCCCAAGTTCTTGTTTCTTAGGTTTACGGCAATTGCGAGGCAGCCAGTAATTAATAATACTAATGGAAGCTCTGCTTAAGCGAAACCTTGCGCCAGCAGGGGGAATGGCAGCTCCACCTAAGATTTATATCCGTTCGGTACATCATCGCTATTTGTAGTGAGCGTCTCTACAAAAGGAAACACGCAGTAAATGATAACTATTTTGAAGTTTAAAACGTATCACCGCTGAACTATTAAACTTTCTATTGCAAATTCTCGAAAGCACTTGGCAATATTTAGTTTTACAGTGACACGATAGTGACTAGCAGAAATCTATTCAGAATTTGCGGTTTGCACTTATCTGACCAGCTGACTGCTCAAATACCCGTGACAAAAAAAAAAGGTACCTTGATATTCATTATTTGAAAACTGGCCCTGGTCCAGCCGTCATTAAGTACTCAAATAGGTGAACAGGTCTGACTAAAGTAATACGCTTAGCCCTTATAAACGATTTGTAGTTATAAACCCTGCACCTTAGTTCACTATGAGCATTGCTTGCAGTGTTGTTATATGACTTGGCGATATTTGGCAACGAAGGACAGGAGGACTCCATTATAAAATAAAAATAATAATAACAAAATAAAAATAGATCCTCATGAAACACGAGCAGTCAGCAACGCACGCCAAGCCGCGAAAAATGTCTGAGCTCAAAAAGTTTTATCTGTATAGTAGTTACATGTGCCTGACCAGCGTAAATATGCTTAGTATCTATTAAATAAATAAATACATACCCAGTGGCTCTATTACAATATAGAATGAAATTTGTAATTGCAAAGGCATCTGCACGCATCAATTTAGATTTGTATCAGAAGCTAATATCGAATAGTGTTCGGCTGATGTCGCACGCCGCGAACGGCAGTTTACATTTACTAATAAAACAATATTCACCGGTAGGACATCCGTTTCATACATGAGGTCAAATAGTATTACAAATCGACGCCACTACAGCATCAACGAATAAACTCATCCGGATGAATTCGCTCAACATGCTGCCCATGGGGGTCCGTTTCGAGCATCATCAGCGGATGGACGTCATAGGCTAAAGCTAAAATCTTCCTCAAGTTCGCGCACTGTAGGCCTCCTCTGGGGTGTGGTGCCGCCTGGTGGAGTTGATGGCGCGGGCGAAATCGGTGCCGGCACTGACTCTTGGTCATGAAACCAGCCTCTTGGACTCGATGGAATTTCCGTTTCCCTCAATACAACCGCCATGTTCGTCAGCTGCGACGAAGGCGACGAGTCAGCGTAGTGATGACTACCATAATGTAGAGGCTGTCTCGACCCTGCCGCTGATGGAAGATGGATTTCCATCCTATAGGATCAATCACTCTTAGCAGTTAGCAAATGTACTGGGGCATTTACTGACGCAGTATTAGGTTCAATTTAGTACGTAGTAAACGATATAGCGTAATATTGGACAAAGTACGAAATACTGAACATTCAAAAAACAAAAAAAAACGTATGAACAGGAATAATATTTACAATTCTGATGGTGGCGTTCTGTCCGGCGTTGGAGTCCCGCTATTTCCCAATCTATGTGGATGACCAGTAGCCTGCGGAGCGTGATGTGCACTGTAACTTGAGGTATTGTGATGCGTCAAATAACTGCTGCCACTCCTCGCCCCGCTAGGTAGATTTAGGCTGAGCGTAGACGGTCGGTCGAGATTGGATTGACGTAAATGCTGCACTTCTGGAAAAGATGTTTTTCGCCGTTGCGAATATGGCGAACATTGAATTTTGTATGCATTCGCGTTAGGCGTGCTCATGTTTCGAGCATACAATTGCGGCGTACGCGGCGGCGGCGGCGGCGGCGGTGGCGGCGGCGGCGAGCGTGGGGCAGCACCGGGATTGTCAAAAACTGAAGAGCACTGCGAAGATGCGGGAGATGCTATATTTGGCAGACCACCGGACGCTGTCGAGCTTCCCCGAACAGACGTTCCAGTCAGACGAGCGTCGAACGGCGAATGCACAACTTGCGTTACTCCATAGTAAGTAGACGGTGGAGGCAAATGCTGTGAAACAGGCGTGAACTGAGTGTGTTGCTGCTGTGAGCAGATTGTGTCGATGGAAGAGGGTCCGACCTCTGCTGAAGACGGAGTAAATGGGTAGTCGCTCGTTTGGGGCGTTGTCGTTAACGCCGCAGGGTTGCCTTTAGATACGATAACATTGATATCGAATGATGATACTAGAACCATGAACATAGACTTGTGAAGATTTGCGAAGTTTCATAGCATGTTACAATTTACAGATTAGCTTTGCATGGACACCTTATGGATTGTTTGTTGTTACTCAGACTGAATAACAAGATAAATTAGTTGTCAGGTGAAACTTACCCAGAGGCGATGGGCCGAAACCCGAGCTGGCCGAATTGTAGGCCTGATCCGAGTCGTGGGATGTGGTCGAGCTTCTTCGCCTAGCCGTTAATGGGCTGTGAGGAAGCCCAACAGTAGTCTGAAATTGTGTTGCATGGGGACTCCACGGACTCGACTGACCTCCAGCAAAAATCGATGGCCTAGTCGTAGAATTTCGTTGCGTCATCTGGCCGTGATACGTGTTGTGTCGCGTATAACCACGAAGATGTGTGTCATCGTACGCACGAGGTACTGAAGACAATAGTCACATTCACGGAGACAGAATATATAAGAGCTATGGGAATTAACAGGCCTTAGAGAGATAACGAGAAAGCGGTATGCAAGGTGCATCGAAAGAAGATTTATACAAGAGCATTGTACCATGTGCAATCTAATCGAGTACTGAACCTTCACTCATTGCTGTACTTACTACCTACATATAGATAAGATATATATTTGCTGTAATCATAAAATAAACTCACGTTCGCTAGACATATGTTCGCCGCTTCCAAGCTCATCGTAGCTTCTTGAGTGGCTGCTATTCTGGAGCGTGACGCTCTGGCGGTCCTTCAAACCTATGGCTGATAGCACGGTACTTACAGCGCCTTTTACTGAACAGATAAAGTTCTTCCGCGGTTTTGACTCCTTCTCTCTGTTATTGTGGTGAATTCGAGAGTACGAAGGTGCGGCGTCAATAGCATACCTGCCTGCGAGACAACCCAACTGATCCTGGAGTGGTACAACTGATGGATTCACTATCATCATTTGGTCTCCTGGGTGCAATGCGCGTTGAAACACCGGAGGATCGTGTTGTTGCAGTTGAAGAAGACTGGCTGGAGAAATCGTTGACGGACTCCACGTTTTACCCTTGTGTCCACCGTTCACCACTAGTGATGACACCGAGCCGCCACACGAGTTGCTCGTATGGAGAACGCCTTCATCATAGATAAATAATACAGTCATGAACAACAAGAAATAGTAACACTAAACATTAGCTCGAAAGTTGGACATGTGGAAGACGTTCAAAATATGTTTAGGTACTATTTCAGTTTGCAATCGCTTCGGTGAAGGTACTGAGAGCAGTGATACAATACAATACAAAAACCTCTTTTATTAGGCGGAGCATCTGATATAATTAGGATGGCCTTATTTGTATTTGCGGTGAACGCTGCACCAAACAAAAGAACGTTAGTTGCGGTAGCGATCATCGCCACCTTAGATAGCTGGATTGAAAAATAATTTCTCAGATTGTTTCTCTTGTGTTAAAGCCTCTAAGGTTGCCATTCTGAAAGAAAGTCTTAAATTCTTAGGTATCAATATGAAGTTCAGCAGCACTAAATACGGCCATTTAGTATCAGGAACCAAGAAAGAAATACGCTTTATAAAGATACCTATACATCCTTACATGGGTACAGTATGTCTACCTGGCTATAACTGTAGCGGTATAATCGCAAATATCATTTTTTTTCTTCACTGAGATTTTCTTGCACAGAAAACACCCTAAGGATCAACTTGTTGATTCGAAAGGTACTTCAGACATCTCCACAATGCGACTGCTTAATTTCGAGAACCTCTCAAATGTAACTTTCAGATCTCCCAAGTACCTTTGGAAGTTACGGTGTATTTTTTGTATACTAAATCCCCGCATATTTTTAAGATTATCGGCGTACCTTTTATACGTGACGTCTAGCCGTTAAAAGCTCACACTTAGATTTTGTGTGAACATTACATACAGAATAAGACCTAGACAAGAACTCCGAAAATTCTCAAAGGACCGGCCATTCAAGCGGACATAGGCCTCAACCACGGCTGTTCGATCCGTGAAGTACGACCGGTACCAAGTTACCACCCTAAAACCGACCTCTAGAAACGCCATCTTTTTCGAAATATATGGTGGTCCACTGTGTTGCGTGCAAATAGGGAATTGAAGTACACTATACGCAGCGGCAGAGTTCGGTTGCGTGCATGGGGCCAGCCGAGGCATATATTTAAGCATTATGTGTGGGTTTCTTTTTTTTTTTTGGTGACAAAAAGCGTTAAGCCAATTCAACGACTATTTCGTCCATTCTTTCATTATTGTACACAGTATGCAGCTACGGACAGCGAGCCTGAAGTTCTCTGATAGAGAACTTCAGGCTCGCTGTTCGCACTACACTCGCTAAATGGTGACGGAACTGCTTCGTTCTTGAAATGGTGAGTAGAACTCGCCATTAAACACATAGAACATCGCCATAGAGCAAACGACACGAAAATTTGCGGCATTTCGCTTGCAATAAGACTGCACTTTCGCTTAACCTTATAAAGTTTTGCAGCGACGGTCTCCGAAGTACGCCTTAACCAGTATAGATGCATAAATCTCTTATTAGAACAGAGAAAACTTCCTAATGTCCTTGTATGATCACACACTCACGCATACAATATGTTCACTCATTGCGACTTCTGACGGTAACTAATCAGCTCTGTACTTTGCACACCTGTGAAGTATATATATGCACTCAAATATATTCGTCGTAATAACACCCGCAATTGGTGTTTACCGGGCATGGGTGCTCGAGAAACACGGGGAGAACGTTCACGGTGATTGCCGTGACCATACGTAAATGGTGCCGGCAAAAGATTCGGGGATCCCAATCCACCTTGGGAACCAAGCGGACAGCGCGGTCCCGTTGGCGATAAATGAAGACTCAAATGCGAATCCTTTGCCACGGATCCGGAGCCAGACGTAGTTCGCGAGCGGGTTCGATTTGCGTTGAGATTGGGAGATACCGGAACTATGCCACTTATGGGCGAACCATATTCAGCCAGACGTTCCACGACGTTATCATTATCCCAAGACATAATATGTACACAGTCGGTCGGCCCTGATATTTCTAAGGGCTTCTTGAATTTCCCACGTCTACGAGGAGCGGGAGGTGTCTCCGACGCTAGTTGGCCAGCCTTTCGCGCAATTTCGCTTTCGCGTTCCAATACAATTAATTCGCGTTTCTTGACAGCTAGCATATCCCGAGTCAACTTCTCTTGCATTAAATTCAGTTCTTCCTCGCGTGTTTTCAAACTGTTTTCGCGTTGTTTAATTTGCTCAATTCGCATTGCGATCTCCTCTCGCCAGCGGTCCTGCATCGTGTGAAATGACTCGTGCAAGACATCTAATGAAGAAGAGTTGAAAATATCTTCTAACTGATAAATAATCTTGTCGAAGAGCGGTCGCCGATGTGGGTCTGCGTTCCAACAGTCTGCAATGGCAGCAATAAGTAACACAAAGACGTGAAAAGTTATAAGGTTTGGCCTACGTAATAATTTCGAAACGGTACACTAGTTCGCACACAGTTGTTAGCAAAGCAGCGACATTAGTTTCGCATATAATATGTGACAATAGCAGTTTAATAAGGTGAGCCGACCGCCAGTAACATATAGCCCGCTAAGTACCGTTGAGCGCGAAATCTGTATTACATAATGAAAGAAAAATTGAAAGAAAATAGTATTTTTGCGCTTGTAAGTTGCGTCCCAAGAGGCGACATTTCGGGTTCAAGAAAGTGAAAAATCTCTCAACCACATCTGAAAAATTTATCAGGACTGAAAATGTATACTCCACTTCTTAGTAAGATAAATACTTTCTCTCCTTTGAAGAATACAGACGAATTCAGTCTGCTAGCTCACGTAGTGCTAAGAACCTGACTAGAAGAGAATAAATGGTATATCAGAGGTCAAAGATTTACGTGATGTGTGACTGGATCGTATGAAGTTTATAAAATTTCAACAATAACTGAAAATGATCTGGATGCTTAATTTGAAGATGAATACTGAGCAAGCGGAGTTATGGGTTATTTTCCAACTAGAATTATAGCTTTAATATTACCATACCTATTTTTTCCTATATTGAAAAGATTCACTATGAATATCCAAATAGAAGTAGACAGAAGTAACGATTACAAGTCAAAGGTGCTCGACGTGTTGCAATTCCAGCAAAGAAAAATTTGCTTATCTGACGTTCTTACACGATATGTTCCGCGTGCTGTTCATATGAGAAGGTCAACAACGCTGTACCTTTAATTTGCTTGCGCTTTAGATAAAAGAACAATAATTAGGAGAAAAAATACCATAACTCTCAATAAAAATCAACGCATGAAAGACGCCCACCTGTCATTAAATTTTTAAATTTTTCGGGGCACGTCTCCGGTATCGGCAACGTAAGCTTCTCGGAGCCAATACCGTAGGCGATAGCCACAGGATCCACTCCCTTGTAAGGTATTTGGCCAGTAAGCAGTTCCCAGATAAGTACGCCAAAGCTCCAGACGTCGGATCTCTGCGAGTACTTATAGAATTTAATGTTTTCAGGTGCCATCCACGCGTATGTGCCCCCACCGGAAAGTACTGTTGATTTTTCCACATTAGTGCGGGCCAAGCCAAAATCTGAAATTTTGAGCGGCACTGCCTCCTGGCTATCTGGCTGGTATGGAACCGTCAGTAGAACTATTAGATGTCACAACAACAACACAAACAATGATTTAAATTTTCTAATTTAACGTGTGGAAGTCGCTCAGTAGAACTATTAGATGTCATAACAACAACACAAACAATGATTTAAATTTTCTAATTTAACATGTGGTAGTCGCTAAGTTACTAAGTACAATTTGAAGAAGCCAACCTCAATTATAGCCTTTGACGCGGCAAAGGTCAGTTTAACTGTGTTTCTTCGTAAGGGAAAATATGGAGCCCTACCCGCCGTTGCACTAATGTGTGACATACGCTTCCTTCTAGCAGCTACAGTCAATATACTGGAAATACCACCGCAAACTCACCATTTGTTGATTTAAGATCCCGATGTATAACGCGCTTCGAATGAATGTATTGCATCCCTTTGGCGATATGCAGTGACCACTCTGTTAGTATCCGTAAAGGGACTTGGTTTTTCTCTAATACGCGGTTAAGAGATCCTCCTTCACAATATTCCATAATTAACCAGGAATTTGGCAGGCATAGACCTGTAAAATTGGGTAGGGTTTCCATCATAGACAAATAACGACAGATTTTAAACGTCGGCCTAATCTTGTTTTAATTATTATGATTGTATATATCCTGGGCTTCTTCGTTCAAGTAAAACTGTTCTATTAGCTCAACTCACTAAGTTCTATTTCATAAAGCCAAGCATTCCTAAAGATTCGCAAAGATTGTTAAACATATCTTATCACTATCATGATCGTTACCGAAGGTCATATAGTTTGGACAAATATTCTCCCTTCAGTACTGTAGATTACTTCAAGACTATCCGAGATTGACAATAAATGTTTTATTATAAAAAATTAGCATAAAAAGAATCGCCCTGTACCTTGCTTATGGTCTTCGTATGGTATATCCTTACCATAAAGCTTAACAATATGCTCGTATGGTATATCCTTACCATAAAGCTTAACAATATGCTCGTGTCTAAGGTTCCAGACAAGTCCACCTTCTTTTTTAGCAGCGTCCAACATGGCGGCCGGCTCTTGGCTTTCCAGAGCCTTAATTGCAACTTTCTGGTCTCGGTATTTGCCTTCGTATACCTAAAAACGTTAGCCCACATGATTACAAGCTACATCTCTGTATATTGTTTAAATATCGTCAATGGCTTACCCGTTTGTTGAAAACCGACAATAGGTCGAAATAGCGACTAGGGATTTTATATTGTAATTGCGTCCGGGAAAACAGCTGCTTATTATTTAGATTATGTACCATAACACTCCGTTAGCATCCGTTGCCATGCTACTTTTGTTCTGCATTAACGTGTCTCCAGTGCGGCTGCTCCTTTCGCAACGGCCAATAATATTGCATCCTGTAAAGTCTCCCGGCTGGCCACATACGTAGCGGCTGCGTACTGTCGCCACGGTCCTCCAAGGGTTTCGATGCCCTCGCACCTCGTTCACCGTCGTTGTACATATTTAACGCCTTTTCTTCGTAAAGTTTTTACGATCCGGATTTAACGACTTCGGCCGCTTGCTTCGGCTGTACAGAACACGTCTGATCTCCCTTGGTCGTTGCGCCTCCTTCCTCTGACAAGAGCTTTTGGCGACCGAACCAAACCTCTTTTCCCTTGCCGGCGCCTACGGCAAGCGCGCGGATCACGGCCTGAAGCCTTCACCGGTACTAACGGCCTTCTTTTGCGGCGATCTGGCCTCTAATCGGTCTACCTTTTGCAACATTTTCACAAATGACTGTTATGTTTCGATTTTGTCCAGGTCTTGCTCCAGATCGCTTACATAGGTTCGGTCAGACGCACACATCAGTGTTGCCATCTACATGTAAAGGGCTACGGCGTTGCTCGCAGATTGGCAACAAACTGGCTAATAACTACGGCTTTTATACTCTGATCGCGTCCGAGCTATCAGCTGTTCATTGTTTACATAAAGTGATGGGCCAAATTTTTAACAGACAAGAGCGACCTTGGCTCGATTCATATAAGCTAGCATATATGGTTGTTTTGAAAATATTCAGAGGCTCCCTATCGTTCAAAAAACTGTGCAGCGTCCTGATCTTAAAAAAGTTGCTTCTTAAAATCTCATTCCCGTGATACAGTTCGGTAAACAGAGGGTCTCTGTAAGCCCTTTAAGTCGCCGTTAGCATCGTCATTCTTGGGTGAAATGAATATCATAGTAATATAACCATAGATAAACGTGTGCTACGATCAGCCCATGCTTCAAGCAATTCTAGTACCAATTGCAAACCTGGTCGTGACTCACATGTAGAATGATGCATAGCCCTTCTTGAGCCTCTGTGCTATTTGGAAATTTTGTAGATCAATAATTCTATGCTTTCTTATCTAAGTTCATTCGTTAATTTTGATAACACCTAATTGACCGCGTAGCTAATTCATCTCGTGATATGCTTTTTGCGGATGGACCTTGCTCACCTTGCAAAATCCGCCTTGGCCTATTGGCTTCCCTTTGACGACTTCGTCTACTTGGATCTCTGGTGGTCCCAGGCTCTCGCCATCGCTGCTGCTGCGCCCAGCGGAGTCGCCATCACGCTCCCTGCCATCTTTTGTCCAAGCATTTTCTCTTTTACTGCCGCCATCATCGACTCCACCGCCCGATGGATCCGCCTTATGTTCGGTGCTGGCTGATGGAGACTCAAATTTTACGTAGTTTAACGGAAAGATACCAACCTGAAAAAACACGAGTGCGATAATAACATCATATGTTTATCCATACCGCGATAAATCAAGCATAGATTTGAAAAACGAAAAAATGCCTCGATTAAAAGGATCGTCTATTCAAGCATGTACCTTCGAATCGATTGGTTTACTGTCCGAAGCAAGCGCTTGACAAATATTTCCCTCTCAAAACCAAACTGGCCGATCTGCTAATTAGCTCCTCCTCTACAAATCTAGTCGTAGGTTAGTGACTGAAGAATATAGTTTCAACTAATAGTCAACATTTTAATTTATAAGTGAGTTATTAACTTGACCGTTGCTTGTAATCACAGGTAAAAATATACTCTTTTTATTTTATTTTTCCTATAATTGAAGCTATACAATGCAATACAAAGTTTCTTTTAATAAAAGGGTTTAGAAAGTGGTGACAATGTAGTGCTGTGTTACAAGGTCTTTTTAAACTGATGTAACCACACGCAATTGTTAACAGTGGCTATGTGTGAAGAGGTGATGGACACACCATTGCGCATATTACCTCGCTTTATTACAAGAAAGTCTTTATGTAGTATGCTGAATATCCACAGGTCATTTTCGGTAGAGAGAGATCATAGACATACGAAGCACATATTGCATAACCGATGTAAGGTAACTAAATGTTACCTCTCTATAAATTCACCAAGTTTGTGTAGTAAGCAAGGGCGAGGTATCTCAGCAGTCATCCATTTCTGCATTAATGTTTACAATCACATTCTGAACTGCATTATAAATATTTAAGCACATCCTGGTTATTGAGAAGTGTTTCAGAATATCGGGTTTACTGATCACGTTTTCCTAGAGCCGTTTGAGTTGCAGTTCGAGTGCGACAATATTGGGATGGTGACAAACTAACTTGATCAATCTTTTTTCCCATATGAGTTAAACTCGATAAGTACCTAGTCTAGAGCTTTTGCGTGGATATGAGAATGTCAATGCAGTCATCTGTCGAGCATTGGGCGTGCAAAAGTATTGCTATCTTCCACTAAATGTATATTTTTCTTTAAAAGTTCAAACGTTCTATTTCGTTTTTATTCCGATAGTTGTCATCTGCATCCTCTGACTGAGCTCAATACTATTCAATGTACTACATAGGCTACATGTTTTCTAACTTAAGTAGCTGGAATTGTTGATATTTTCTAAGTTCAAAGCTATTACAATATATTTAAGACAACAAAAAAAAAAAAAAAAAAATCTAATCTTAAATTCACAACGATAGAATGAACTGCTGATAGGACATGTGGTTGCGTATCCCTCTCATAAGCAGAAAACAGCATACAACATGGATTTCAGTTGTATCTTCATATTGCGGTTCTGGAATGGTTGCCACCACGTTACCTTGCCATCGACCTTGCCAGTCCACCAGCCCTCATCGCCGGATACACGGGGATCATCGCTGAGCACTTCAATGATGCCCCCTCGTACAAGAGTTAGCTCGTCGTCTACGGCGCCCTCGTAGTCATATAGAATCTATGAAAACAAAACGCATGCATAATGAACTAATTATTATTTTTTTCAACATAAATCAAACAAACAAAACTTAGTTTAGATGTACTTTACAGTAAACTATACGAAGGCAAATAAATAAATGATTCCTAATTTTGAATACCGCCTATAGGTAATGATGAATCATATCGTAAATAAAGACGGTACCGAACTAGCCATTAAGAAAATACGCTAAAACGCGTTACCCCCTCAAACTAACTAATATAAAAACAATATTAAAAGTTCAAATCAAAGTTAGACACACGTTAACTGCTCCGTAATTTCAACTTAATGAAAACTGCTGGAAACTGAAAAACTAGATTTGATAACGCTTTGTCCTAGGCGCCTGTAATCTTTCGTGTTAGTTGCTACTAAATGCAATTTTTTAGGCTAAATATTCACTTACCCTACACAGTCGTTCTGAATTTCTTTTCCCGGAGCCGTTTCTGGGTTGAACAGCCGCCCCCTCGGCTGCCGCCAAGCCGTCTTCCGGCGTCATCGTCCAAACCCTCCAACTGTCCGTTTAAGGCCAATTAAGGCCTTGCTCTTAGAAGTGTTCTGGTGCAAACCCCCTTTGGCTTCCTAACGGCCCTCTTGGATGCGCCCCCCCGCCCCGCCCTGCTCCCGAACGGTGCCAGTCTTTTCCTGTGCAAAGAACACAGCGAAAAAAGAATACAGCTGCTATCGTTTTCCGAGCATAGAATGCAATAATATAATTAATACATCCAAACGAATTAAATAGCCACTTTGATGATAGCATTATACACTTCATTCCCGTCACTTATATATCCGTTACTATATATACTATATATAAAAAGTATAAGCAAGATCCGTAACGTTGGCAAAATTCTTTAAAACTACATAGGTTTTATTAGCTGTCCACATCTCACATTATCAAGGATGTTAGCCGAGCAGATTGTCGCCGATTTCTATAAAACATTTTGATTACTCTCTCCTTCATTGCCTATTTTATACATCTGTTCTAAACTCATCTAACTAAAACGATATTTATGACTCACTAATGCCGTAATAAAAATGCGAATTTTAACTGCAAGGAAATTCAATAACAGTTTAATGTTATGCAGACTATGCTTTTCAATGATGCTTTACTTCGTTCGATTGATCCAATCGTCTTTTAGCCCACCAAGGTGACTTCCAATTATGACAGCACCAGCTGATGCTGTTTCATCGGCTTTTTGTACTCATCTTATGCAGTCTGTGACAAACACCCATATATATATATATATATATATAAACTGAACTGACAGCTCTTTTGGAAATCTACTCATGCAGTACACTTCCAGCCATTCTTCCATTGTTATACCTGATATCATTGCATAAGAATATTGCCCAGAAATATCGCAGTCTTTAAATTAATTTAATGTTTGATTTCAAGGCCAGCAACAGGATAGCGGCTTATAAACGGTGGCCAAGGTGAGTTCATTTCGTCTTTGAATCCAACACTAAATTACCCGCTAAACACGACTGCTACAGTAACGTTACTTCAAGTACATCCTTAAATTGTTCAGTTGTTTTGACAAGGCTTCACTTGAGATAAAGGCATGTAGTGACAAAGCTACTAAGCTAGACTCTTCTGCACCGGTTTTTTGCACAGCAGAATGATTTTCAAACCTCATATGCACATATTTAGTAATAGAGTATATGAAAGTGACTCGGACTGTGTGTATGACCGCATATTCACCACCGAAGTAAAGAATCCTAATCTGATTAAAGCCACCTCACCGACGAGCCGGTACAGGGAACAAATAAACAAACATTTTATTATCATCTTTCAAGCAACAATTCTCTGTATAACATTGTCCCAACGCACAACCATTGTAGAGTAGACCTTAGCTTTATTTTGCGGCATCGAAACGCTGCGACACGTGTTTCTACGTCATTCGCTTGTTTGATCTTTCGAACCTTTGTTTCATAACTCTAAAGCAATGTAAATATGGATTGACGTAGAGGCAACTTCTTGAATAATTGCGTAGTAGACCCTTAACACTTCAACGTTGTTCAATATTTTATCGTTGTATCTCGCGGATATATAATGTAACGACTAGTCAGGTAAAGTCTGTCAGACAGTACTTTATGGCGTCAGATAATGAAAATTTACACAGTCCGTCTTTAAACCAGACGATTAAACGGTCGCAGACTATCGTTGATGTCCTTGGGTTTTTGTTTATCACATAGAACATGAAGCAATAAGCGGTTTGTGGTAAATATGTCTATTCCTTTTATGGGTGCCACTTCAGTTGTTGCTGTTTACAATGTTATCACAAACACGCCACAGTAGAAGTGGGACAGACCCTCATCCCCCCAAAAAAGAAATTCCGCGTGTCGTATGACAACAATATCAAGATACTTTTTCCAAAATCCAAAATATGTTCTGCTTAATATACTTTCACCGTTCTCTTAGGCTCTAAATATGCATCAATTTCAGCACTGCTATGTAACATTCGAATTACTTCACGGCGATTTTTTTGACTCAAGCTGAATTGAGTGTACCTACAATTATTCGTTAAAATGGGCATCTATACGGTGAAGTGTTGGAACGAAATAGACCGTTTCAGCGTATATTCTAAACGTCATCTGTAGGTACGCGGCAACCTATGCCAGACACCCTTATTAACTATAGCTGCAATTTAGGTTACAGTGGTGCTTCTAGGTTATGTCAGTGCTTGGAAACCACTAAATATTTAACGAATCAGGAAACTATATTTTACTTGAATTTAGCTGTGTTCCTTTATTTCGGCCTTAACTACACAACAGGACGCAGATTAATAAAATTAACAGCTCAAACAATGATAAAAGCAGTTTCGTGTTACGATCTTTATATACATTTGCCTTATCTGATTTATACTATAAAAATAGTCTTCCGTTCAATGCCTAGTTTACTAAAGTCGATGATTTGCTCAGATAGTATCTCGGCCAGAAGTATATAAATTATGCCACAGAATGTTCCTAAATCTGGCGCGAAGCAAGACCTGGTTCATGAACCGTATTCCTGAAGCGTAGAGGTCAGGAACTGTTTTTGGACAAACCATAAAAAAATCCGTAACGACAAGCATCTCTCACGATTTTCCCAACATAAAAATAACCAAAACAACACTGACTACATTACTTTGTTTACATACTAAATTTCTAGAAAACTCGAGGGGCAAGGTTTACTTTTCGCAAATATGCTGCTATAGCCGACATCAGCTATGCAAACATGGATTCAAAACCACCGTCGCGAAGCTTTTACTACCCACAGAAGAACCAAATCTGACTCACTACATTTTTACCGTTGTACGTTACGTTTGAACTTTGGCGGTGATATTAAATTAGTTCGTGTGTAAGTTGCCGAGACTAATAAGAAATTTCCCAGTTAGTCAGCTAGAGTTCTGTGTTAGACAAAATGATATTTGTTTAGTCGATATACATATATAGCGAACTCCGAAAAAGTCTGACACAAAATAATCTTTTGAAAAAACTAAATTTTCGAGAAAGCGTTAGCCAAGAGCAGATTTAAACAGCAGGTTAGTGGTCGAACTGAACAATAGTACCCTGATTGATTACCAACTGGAATTCTTAGGCAAATAATGCGCGTTCGCCGTTAATGGGACTATGTCAGATAGCACATCACTTCATGAAAGCTAATTCGATAAGTAGCAATGTCTGCTGCATACCCCTTTCATAGATTGTTTATCTGTTATACCTTTACAATTATACTTCATAGATTGATAGAATGTAGGAGCTGACGTAGACGCACAAAGCGATGAATGCTGCGGCAAACTGGCGGAACACGAAGAGGCAAGGGTCAAACGAACTAACAGATAAGCGAATGAAGAGTGGACTAGTGATATCCGTTACATACATTACATTATTTTACTGTGGTGTTCTCACAGCCTTCTCGTCGATGATACAAGACCGGCATCAGCTGTTGCACTGCGAGAGTTTCCCAACAAAGAGAGCTCGAGCGGGTGGAATGCCGCTCGTCTGTTTCTGCTGTCGGCAGTGCATAACAAACATCAGCCGCATAATTAGTACTGTTGCAGCTATTACGATATAAGTTAGAAATGGATTCGAAGTATAGATGCATTACTTGTGGCTTTCGAACAAACTTATTGCAGTAATGGTGCCGTCTTGTATTATGCAGGAAAGAATGGGCGAGATGTCGGGGAAGAGGAAACATTAACCGACTATCGGCGATATAGCCCCTTCGTCTCTGCATACGTAGGTAGCTAATTGTTAAAAGTTGTTGTGCCGATGACGGAATATCGACGCTGGCCGGCAAATAAGCTAGAGAAACGTAAGCTTACAAGACTCTCATTAGAAATATATATATATTTTCCTCCTTTTGCCAAATTACAGGAGTTATAGATTTTCAATGCGATTTCTATTTGCTCGCTTCTTTTCGTTTTCGTAGATTTACGTGCTTCTATGAATAACTGCTAAGAGTGAATGCATGTACCTTTGTATAAACTGCATACGTATCAGCATAAGGCATCATCTACTTCATCGCCATCATTATCATAAACAGGGCGCCACCATAAAGCTGCTGCTTTTCGCCGATGAGGCGTAACTAGGCACGCGCGAAAGCTCCATGTCTCCTGACACGTCTGCTAGCCTTCTACAAATGCGTCGCTGAGGCGTCTTTCATTGGCGGTGACCGATTTCTATGCTACGATTGAAGATGTTATAGGAGCTGTATCGACTGCGTGGTTCGTAGTTATTCTGTTACCTGCCCTAGTTCTCTAGCCGATAGAACGACCGACTTAATGGCTTGCATATGAGTCTTTTCCGAGTTTTAATGTAGATGCTAATAGTGTGCCAACTTCATTGCGCCTCCCTTAGGAAGCTGCTGTTGATGCGACAAGCTCGACAGCAGCAGCAGTAGTGAATAAAGCTGACAGAATAATTTACCGGACCAACAAGAACACAGCAAATGTTAAAAGCTCGCGTGTTTGTGTACGTTTACGCGTCCGAAAGTCCCTCGGTTCATTCATAAATATCTAAAAACGGATACGCATAACGTAAACATGCACTGGGTGGCAGCAGCGACAGCGACTGCAACGACAGGGCCGACAGTGGCCACATAGGCCATGACAACAGTAGCAGTCACGGCAAAACTAGCAACGGCTTTCTTCAGTTTACCATCAGTGATGCTTTTATTCGCCTCGCGCTTGAACTACGTTGTTACTACGTAGAACTCGTCCTTCGTCGCCTTTTCTCTCTGTTTTGTATATATTATTGGTTATCGTTTTTAGGCGGCATGCAACGAGGTGACTGTATGCACGTAACGCAGCTAGTCGCTGTATGTCCACGTTGTCTTTCCCCACGAACCACTCCCTCAGCAGCTATGTCAGCGGCTTAGGGTCGCCTTCATGCGATATTTAGGTGCTTCTTTCTCTCTCGGGGCTACTAATTTCCTCTCACCTTTACTCATCTCTTATTTCTTTCGTTGCTCAGCAACAAGTTAATGGCGCCACCGGCGACAATCATAGAGAGAGGAAAAGAATTGACCAAAGGCAATGGCAGTATATCAGTACCGCCTAACACAAATGTCAACAAACAGCGCACCCATTGAGACACTGTGTAATGTTGTGCGTGTTCGTCTTTGTGAGATGCTTACGGAATCACAGGCGGACATATAATAGTATATTAGATAGAGACAAACGGAACCCTGCGCCATAAGAGTAACCGGCGTAGCTGCGGCTGTCGATCGAATGTTCTGCGACTTGAACCTGAGCGTTGGCTCCCTGTTCCTATACAACTGACTTTATTGCCCCGTCACTCTACGCTTCTATGGCACTATTTCACTGCGTGAAAAGAAAGAGGAGCAGGCACATAGCTACGGCGGAAAGAAAACGCGGTTTCGAAAACGAAATAGTAAAAAAGTGAACAATTTTCAATCATTTATAGCAGATCATTCGTGCGCTATCCGTGCTTCAAGAGGCTCAATGGAGACTAAAGAACGAACCGAGCGATAGAAAAAAAAAAGACGAAATGTATTCACCTCTTTAAGTGAACTCTGACGACGCGAACGTGCCCAGTCGGTGTGGAAGCAGCAGCACTAACTACGCCAGTCTGGTTGTCTGAGGTCGTGGCCGCCACCGCTAATTTATCAATTTGATTCTCACAGCATTTGAAGAGGTACGAGATGCTACCTCGCTCGCGTTCATCTCGTGTTTAGCGTTCATCCGAAAGCTCAATTGATAGCATTTCTCTTCCTTTCTCTGCCGCTTTATCTCTAGCGATTTTGCTTACAGCAAGGGACAGAGAGGCAAAGTTTGTTACTGCTGGGCATGGCATTTTTTCTTTTTTGGGTTTAGGACAGCTCTAGTTAAGATGCTGAGAGGACCAGCTGCGATGGTTTACTGTCACAAGCATAGGCAATGCGCAACCAACGGTGCGAGCGTCAGGTTAGATGCGTGATAAAAAAAAAAGAGACAAAATTAGATGCATGATTTCCAATTATCTATCATGAATAAGGGCTATATGTTGTTTATCCATCCTTATCTTGCAGTTAGCAGTTTTGTGCCGCTACAATTGTATCACCGTCTCCGACTGCTCGTATTTCGCCTGTTGCATCGGGCTACAATTGGAAGCAAACAGCAGAGTTAAGCAGCTTCTCATTCACTATTATTAGTACAGTACAATAACACATAGCTAAACACGGCAACATAGCACCAACAACTGATATCCACGGGCCACAAGGTCACTCAATGTCCGTTTGGTATAAGGCAGCAACTTAGCACACAGCTTCCACGAATTGACACTGGTTGGCGAAATTTGCAATGCGTTCCGAAGCAGCGTCCGTAAGGCCAGCGACAACAACAACAACGGAAATAATGTTAACGAAGCCAACAAAGGAGTGCCGTCGCTTGCAGCAAGAAAAAACCCAAAATAGACATACCCTACGAGTTGCACATCGCATAATCCCATAACAGCTCATTAATTTACTGTTCTCCCAATAACATATAGTTCGTGATGGCTGTAATCGATAACTGTCATCGACGACGACATTATAACAGTACTGATCGACAGTATTTAGAAATTTGGTTGGTATAATTGATTTTATGCAAACATCTGCACCGAATGAAATTTTGCCCTTGACTCAGGAGGAAGAAGAATCTATCAGTTGGAAAAATCTTACAAATCTGTAGCCTGCCGTTACTGCAGGGAGGAGATGTCCTCAGAATCTAATATGAATACGTCACCGTCACAGACCTGCGATTTCATAAACATGTATTTGCATTTGGCCTCTGCCCTCATCTAGTGCTAGATGGACTAGATGAGTGCAGAGGCCAAGTTCGTTAGCGAGGGGCCTGGGTCGTAAAAGTTTCCTACGTGACGCAGCTTTTGCTTAATTAACCCCAGGAACTCACACTCACAGAAACCTATTCTCGCGCCAAACGATTCGCCGACACGGGACACCCGGTAACAATAAAACACTGGTATATTTTCTAAGATTAATATTTTCATCAGAGATATGTGAAATAACTACTTAGATAAACATCGTACTTGTTCCTCTTCTAGGTACAGAAGAAAAAACGTTGAACGTATGAAACATTGCTTACTTAAGGTAGTCAAGGTGTGGTTCCGTGCATTCGAACCAAATCACTACTTTTCTGTTCTTAACTATTTTCCTTCGTATGTGGCCACGTAAAACATTCACCGCATTTTTATTTACCTCGCCAGGGTGTCCATCCAGAGCGACGACTGAAGAAGGTCTTTTCCACTGGTTTGGCAGCAGCAGCAGCAGTAGTCGTAGTAGTAGTAGTAGTAGTAGTTGTTGTTGTTGTTGTTGTTGTCGTTGTTGCTGTTGCTTCTATAGAAGAGAGGGCACGCCCCCGCGCACTGGGACGGCCGTGGAATAATCCTCGTTTTCGATGCGGGGGAGGTATCAAATGCTGTTGCGGCAACTGTGAACGTCGCCCCTCGCTTTTTCCGTATACGACAATAATCGGTATTAATACGTATACTAATATTATCGTCGACTGCGACAGGAAGAGCAGCAGCAGCAGCAGCCGCAATAATCAGTCGACTGCTGGAGACAGCAGCACGCGATGGCAAATAAAGGTTCTTCATTCATTTGTTCATCAATATATCAAATCCTTATCAAACTCCCCTGCTTGATAGTAGTACGTTTACAGATTTGCCGCTTCTTTCTTTTCGCCTAGATTAGAGCTTGTATTCCTGGTCACTGTTGTGTTCCTGTAGTTCTGTTATTTTCGTCAGCTCATGCCGGACGCAGTCCATTCAGCTATGTTTCCCCGCTTGTGCGCCCTTCTGGGGGGCGTCACCTCTCTTGAGCTCGCGGCGCCGTTACCCGCTGTAAGGTTGATTGCTGCTTGCACAGATGAACTCTCCCGGTGTCAGCACTAACAAGCAGAACTGACGGAATGGATTGGAACTTGCTTCCCAGCTATTGTTATTATCGTTAACTAAAATAGTAAATGTCCACACACTATCATAGTTTGTTCCCGTCGAACGACAAAGTTGTACACATAGGCGCACCTCATCATAGAAGTAGCGTAAAAGTACAACTAAAGGCAATCATGCGACAGTGCCGAATTATCGATGCTGCTAATACTACCTCTGTTGACCGACGATGAGTGGAATACGTCTTCTGTGTGTGCGATACATATGTGCTGGATAGTCAGGTCAGGTACGACGTTACTCGCAGTGCAGTGTTGAGTAAAATATAGCTCCTAACGGATGCTATCCCGATACGTGCACATGCACACACATAGACACACATACACACACACACACACAGAGGAACGAGGCTACTCAAAACTTCATTTCACCCAGAGCGCGAGAGCCAAGTGCTGCTGGATTCGTTTCGTTGAAGAATAAACGACTGACTAATTGGTACGTTGCGTAGCGAAAAAACTCAATCACTTTTACACCATTTTACACTTAACACTAACAGTACATTGGTTGAAGAAATGGAAGCACTGAGCATCTTTACCCAATCATCACTGCCCGCAATAATAGCCACTATCGTAACATCCATATCACCACCAGCCAGACGGGCAGCCTGCCTCTGCCAAAACAGCCATACGTAGCGGCAGCTCCATCGCCATAATAGCGATCAGCCGCAGCTGCCCCAACGACACCCTTCTTCTACAGACCACTGCTTTGCCTGCTATGAACAGCAGCATCACAAACTGCAGAAGACGCGGCGGCGGCGGCGGCGACTATGATAGCGGAGCACACAGAGCCTTTAGCACTGACACAACACTAACGAAAAGCAGTCAGCTTCAGCGAATAACACAACAACCTGACTCCTAGCCAAATGCACGGATGCTGTGCTCACGCAGACGATCAACCTTACAGATTCACTCGCTCGTCCATAATAACAATAGAGAAGACGACAGTAACAGTCGATCGATCAAGGCGACTGCCAGCATTATCAGCCCACTGCAAAGCGCCATTGTGCTCAACGGATAAACGCATTGGATGGATGCAGCTATGGGGCAGGCGGGTCGCCCCCCTGGGAACAACTTAGTTTATTTAGGTCGTTTCTCAAATCATTTTCAGTGGATTCTAATCCTTGTAATTGACGAGGCGTTTTACTGTCTGCTCGATTGCGCACGTGAAAAATGAGTTCAAGGGACTGCGTGAGACATGTAATAACGCAACTATACTATCACCGCTTTTAGAACTTTTCAGTGCGTAATCGGGACATGTCTCGTTTCTGTTTTATGTTGAGTTTCTAACAAGCAGCTCACTGATCTACACACAGTTTCTGTTTTGTAAAAATAGCACATATTTGCTCAATGTTATAACACATAATGTGATACAATTTAGTACACCCGGTGGGCCTGGGGAACGGGGCTCAATCTAGGTAATCTCAGTTATTTCATTCTACTGCATCGCCAATCACGAACAGAGAGATTAGTGAAGTGTTTTACATTGTTGATGTAAGGTGAAATCTTCGCATAGGAACAAACCAACGTCATTTGGTGCCATGTCACAGTAATACGAAACACACTACGGACCCTTGAATAAAACATTAATAACATAATGTTATAGGAATGTCAGGCAATTAAATGGGTATGTAGTAGACTTTTCATGTAAACTGCTGCTGTGCAAGATCGAATTTTAATATTTACACTATTGTTCTGGCTATAACAATGACGAGATAGGTAGAGTTAGGCATCTAAAGCTTCGATATGGGTTCACTGGGTCTTGTGCTTCAAACTAGCCCAGTTCTTTTGCCCAATTACGTTTGACTAATAGAAGACGTGACAATAGCTATGTAGGAAGCGAGTGTGAGAGTGAGAAAAATATGATTTGTGTGCCCTGCTGATTTCAGAATACAGGCAGACAGATGTTCACTAATGTTAATCTGTCATTTTAGACCCAGCTTAATGTAGATCGACATGGTGTTGTCAGACAAAAAAGTTCAATGCTAAACATACGTATATCATTTGAAAATAATTGAACTCAGTAGTTGGCTAGAGAATGACGTAGCCAGAAAGCATAAGACGGTACGACTTTAAGAACTTGTTGCCTTCGACTGATGTAGCAACAATGGCCCGCATCGTTCCTTAGTTTTTACATATAGTGCACACTATCTTAACAATTTGTCGAAAAAAAATTGTGACTGTTGACACGTGTGGCTTATCGAAAACGGCTAGGAGCACAAGCGCTAACTGCGATGCTAAACCTATCAAGTCCGAGAAATTTATACGTTACGTCTTTCTGATTACTAAGTGTGTGCGCTATGGTCGCAGAATACGCGTTGTAATAGAACGAATAAGTGAAACAAACTTCATATAAAGTGACACATAGGAATCATGCCCTATACCTAGGGAGCACCAGTTTGAAACTCGATTAAACTGTTGTTACTAATTTTCGCTCTGTAATGTGCAAATACACAATGCTAAAGTAGCGTACAATTCAAAACTTTTATTTTCTACATCCTGCCATATAGCGATACTCTGATATGATACGTTGATAGATCATTAAATAACGATCAGTCAAAGGTGGCCTTGTTCTGTTTTAAACCAAATATAAGCAGCCACGAGAGAAACGAAGTAATTTTCAGGCGAATATAAGCATAATGTAACTCTTTGTAACTCACAATTGAGCGTAACTTCAACAGAAGAAACGTATTGGCCAAACAAATTTGGAGGAATAAACATGTTTCAATAACGCATCATTGAAGATCTAAAATCTAAATAAGTGAGCACTTTCCCTAATTAGCCTCGACCCTTTCCAAGCTTCCATCCAGCATGTGCAACAGCAGATTATTTTATAAAACAGAATCAACAATTATAATTGGTTTGCCATTAAACAAAGTAGCCTATAGTGGCTTTTAGCCTTTTTTCTGACGTATTGAAATATAGACACTTGCATAGAGTAAAAATGTATTGCTTCGTAAGTTCGAAACCCATTTTTCAAAGCATATACCCAATAACTTCTGCCTTACATTTAACATGCAAACAAATTTAATGCAATATGTACTGAACAATTTAATAGTTACATAATTTGTTAAATCAAACACATTTAATAACTCTATCAACTATATGGTAATTATCTTCCTATTAGGATGAACGGCAAATGTCTTCTCCAAAAAAATTGTCTCATAACATTAAAAATTTTTTTTTGTATAAGGTTATTATTTGAATTATAGTTAGAAAAATATAACTCTCACTGTAACGGCCAGTACTGCTATTTGTTTGGAATATTATCAGTACGGAAACAACTACCAATAATGAAACCGGTACTGTTTTTCTACAGGAAGTTTTCTATATTCATCTGCCTAATTCTTATGGGACAGAAATGAATAAACTTGCGCAAGTTTCACCTCGCTTATTAGCTACGTCAAATGTGAGCTTTGCCAAGTTCGTCCTTTAAATTGGTATTTCAACTTAATTAGCCAGAAATGTAATAGTCAACTAATTAAGCTTTGTCTTTGCTACCGGACAATACAATCTGCAACCTTTATAGAGCACTACGTGAGCGTCGTAAACAAAACACTCTGAACTTTCCCTTCTTTACCACCATTCAAAACCATTCAGACTCTACAGATATAATTTTTGCACATCGCGTTTATTCCACATTTAAATCATGTTCTTATCGTCTTTATATTGTATTTCTCTACGAAACCTCAAATAAAAATGTGCCTTATACATCTTGTTAAACTTTGTAATAAAACTCACTACGGTATGATAGACCTTTGCGCTTATTAAGGGCAATTTGCCCTTTTTGGAGTAGAGCCTACGTGCCTGCTCTGCTATTATGTACTATAATACTCGTCGCTAGAAGGAAGTCTAGAGTCATGCACAAAAGCACGAAAAAAAAGAAACAAACATAATTGATATTAAATACTAAGTGATTCGAATAAACAAGTAAAGGCAAACGGGCCTTAACTTAGTTCAAATGGTCGTTTTCATGGGCTAAATCGTAAAGGAAGTCGTAACCCCCGTGTGACTAATCTTAATCGAGACGTTTAACCTAGTGCTGATATCCGCGCGAAAACTTTTAACATTGTTGGTCGATTCGGTTTTTAAGTCACATTATTTGTAGAACAATCTTTGTGTAAATGGACCTTTTTAGCATATCACTACCGTTCTTCTGTTCTGATAGGCCTAATTTGGGATGATTAGTTTTAAACTACAATCTTAAGCTTCATCACTTAGTTAGATTTGGCCTGCCTATGAAACGAGGGAACGGACTGTTGATATTAACATTGGTTTTAGAAAAGGCCATTCGTTACGGCGGCATTAAATGATTAGAGTCAATTTTTGGTAAGAACGGAGGTAGCTGGCTAGCTCATCCGTTAGATGCCATAACTGTGGCCAGTGACCAGACGGGGTGGATGACCTCAATCGCTATAGAAATCGATAGAAGCCCGCACGATGTTTTTTACCATTGAATGAAAAACCTTGTATAGAACGGTGCCGTAGTTGACACGTATTACGTCACCCTTAAAAATATAAAGATGGTCACGCTATCATGACTCTGGGACCAAGAAATGCTACTTAGGTCTTATTTTTTGTCAATTGTTACTTGAGATGACGATGATGATGAGTTGCTCATTTCTTATCCTGATTCTAGCCGTGGCGTCACAGACTATTTTTGAGAAATCTTAAAGGAAGTGATTTCTTCTATCGAACTCTTTCACTCGCAATTTAGAGGAGTGACGTGAACCCTGCTCTGCAAATGATATTGGCCTTCAGCTGGACACCTGTCGAAAGAGGTTCAGGAAAAATCTAGTTATTTATTTGTTCTACTTTTACTGCTAATCGGACCCATTTCCTTGCACCGATAGACAATAATAATCATGACTTTGGTTGCCGATGCAGAGCCCTTATTCCGTTCCGCACAACTGTTGACGATGTTACTATCTCTCTATCCCAATACGAGGTGCACCCACTTTCCTATTAATCTTTGCTGTACACACAAGTTGCTTATTATCTTTATTTTTTTACAAACGCCAAAATATCGTGAACCTTGTGGAACTTTTAGAGATGTCGACATTTCACTTCGTGGATACATATTTTTGTTGTTTTTTTTTAAATTTTATCTCAAACAAGCTTTTTGTAGTAGAAATTTATAGAAATGAAGTAGTAAGTTAGTTAGGCAGTTAAGCTAGATATATATTATAAACACATACAATTCTCAAAGAAAAGTGATTTTTAGTGATCGATTATATACACTTCACACGAGATTCTCAAATTGGCAGCTGCTCCCCTCAATCGTTCATTGGCTTACACAAAGTTAAATATGAAATGGTCTATGATTGGAGATATATGTTTATTAGAGTACAGTAGGTAATGTAATTTTAAAGGACTAGCATCTTAGGAGGTAAAGTAAAATAAAATTTAACAGACAAAAGGCAACATTTACGTTTCTACTCTGCGATGCGCTACTTCCACCGTAGGTAGGTAGGTAGGTCTCGCTTGTTCTTTGGTCATATTCATATTTGACCGAAAATTCCTTCCTTCTCTCAGAGGACCTGAAATGGGAAAAGGCCGAAAAGTGTCACTGTGTGTCTGCGTGTGCATGTACTGACCATTATATAGATATATAAAAGACCATTGCGCTCGTTCTATTACTATGCTGTTCACTTTCTAAAGATAACGTTCGAATACTTGTCTGCTGAAAATGGCCATAGCAGAATTAACGGTACCGTAAAGGTAGGTAGTGAAGAACCTAATGGAACGAACGCGGATTCACAACGACTTTAATGTTCAACGATCCACTTCTTGAGGACATCTTATCTTTTTATCTTTTGGTTACTTTTGGGAAATGATGAAAACGACTGCTATTTGTTAGTCTCTGGACGAAAAATAATGATCTTCGTTTGGTGGTAACAGCTGCAGCTGTACCGCTACAGTTACTGCTGAAGACTACCTATACGGATATCAACTTCAATGGCCGGTCAGCGCAGGGAAACGCGGACCAAATCAATTAATGTGGTTCTTCTGATAACTGATTAAGCACGCCAGTTGTAAAAAAGGGATACGCATTAACAATCATAGCAGAGGCGCTTGAAGCGGGCACTGTATATTCTTATGAACTGGGTCAGTATCCGCTATACATGTTTATTCTATTTAGTGTTATCAGCTGTCCTCCAGGTCGAATATAGTCGGCGTGTTTTGCAAAATAAGCGTTTGAAGTATTTTAACTTGTCTGCGCCACTCGTCGGTCCAATCTGGTAACACATCAGCATATTGGGAAAAAAAGGTTGGGTTCAAGGGCTCAAGCTGGGGCGACAAATCACCGACGCAGTTAGTAACGTTGTAACTCTGTTCACCGAAAAACCCACGGGTTATACGTGAGAGCGAAGTTTACTGTTGAAGCAGTTTTTCCAAAATCCTAATAGCTGATGCGCTCAGCTACTTTTTATTCTGGTCTAACTCATTTACATTTATGTTCCTCTTTCTATTGGGAGAAGGGGGTCTTTGGCGGGTGTCGGCCTACAGACAAATGACTGTTGTTTCCGGCCCGTTCACAGTATTATTCTGTACATGATAATAACTTAAAACTATAGTCTTTGTTATCTGAATGCTTCGGTCGTGTTTAGAGAGCATGACGATATACTGATGAATAGTGCTTTGTGAGTTACATAATGATATGAAGAATATGGTTATATCCTACCTGCAGCTTGCTAAAAATCCTATCAGACAGACAGGGGCTTTAAGTTTCAGCTTTCACGGCGAAAGTTGACGCTCTGTTAACAATAATTAAAATATATTTAGATATCAATATAAGCCACGCACTGGCTCCTTGTATCTGAAGTAGTCCAAAAGATGCTTGCAGTTACTCGGCGCGAGAATGGACTGACCGATAAGTCGCTGACGGTGAGTTGCACATTTCTAAAAACAATAAAAAATCACTCAAAAAAAAAATACATGTATACAAACGATCCGTTTGTTGCTCTGCTTTTGTGCTTAACTTTGTCTACTGGCAAGTAGAGGTAGTTGTAATATCGTATAAGAGGATATCACACGCCTACAGTTGGATGGGTTCTGAGAGTAGTACACTTCCATAAGAGAAAACTGTATGGAGTTAAAAGAGCATCGTAAATCCGGAATACACGCCATTTATAGCTTTAGCTATGCGCAGAAAGTAGATCAGATGAACCTCTGGCAGAAATCTCTGTTGTTTCTATATACGTACGACCCAAATACAAGCTGAAATTTGTGCACTAATTCGTTGATACTTATGTCGTATGCTTCGCGCACTTAACGCTTAGAAACTTTACCATTCTAATCTTTTTAAATGTATAGTTGAAGATCAGGTTTGCTATTCCATGAAAATTCGTCTCTATGGATCTCGGTATACCACCTGTCTTTGTAATACTGATAGTCCGTTTAAGTTATCACATAAACTCCCTTCATGTCGAATCGAATAAATAGAACGTGCTACGTAAACATGAAACTGCTGAATAAATAAATACTTTTGTTCGAACGGGAATTTTTTACAATAAAAAGCATGATCAATTTGTCGCCCAAACGGTTACGCATACGCAGGTCGTGAGGTCGAATATTCCCGGGCAGATAGTCGACCCAAAGGTACGTTGAAGAAAAATTAACACATGCTGCTCATATGATCGATGAACTTTAAGACGTAGTTGCCCTACCTCTGGCCGCTCTAGAAGGTAAATTCGGCAACACTACTGGCCAGCGAAGGTCAGATCAATAATCAATTACATCATTTTCACACGAGCAAAATATATATGTAGGGAGAGAAATAAATAGCACAGATCATGTACATAATCATATATAGCGTCAAAATCAAACACCATTTGTATATAGAGCCTTGAAGTCATAAAAGAATAACGGGCGGCGGCCGCTTATCTAGTTAACTTAACCATCTAGTTCGGTCGATATGTACGCCGACACAAAGCTTATAGCACCGAGCCTGACAAAATTTACATATGAAGTTATCGTCTAGTTTCTGATACGCCTGTGGCCCGTCCACTAGATGACTGAACTGCCAATGGTGTTATGATAAGCTGGCTAGTTTTTGTTTTCCCTCCTTTTTCCCGCCCGTTGTTGCAGGCATCAGATAAACGGCAAACAAGTCAATTTCCGTTATCCACTGTTCTTGACTGTTAATGCATGCCTTGACGTCTTACTGACAAAGCTTCTTCCAAAGTTTTTTGACAAATATTCGACTTTTTGCCACCAGGTGCTATATATATATCGATTCTAAACGAGATGTTCAAAGGTCCCGCTATGAGTTGTTTTAATCTCTAATCCACTAAATCTGTAAGGGAATAAACGTATTTTTTACAATTTACACCAGGACAAAAACTATAGCAGTGCTGACTACTTGCGTTAAACATATACACCTATATATATAAATGTATTTAAAACCGAACGCCTTTTTTGGAGCTGTTGTTCAGACCCTATCTAAATACCAACATGTATTTTAACGATCTGTTTGCATCTTCTAGATGTGTCACTCGCAACATTTATGCTTTTTCAATGTAAACACTATCCATATCTTTAATTTCGCGTAAACCGTTCACAGGCTTATCCCAAGTGTTCCCTTTATATAGCCATTTTGAGAGCTGCAGACTGACGCAGATTTTTTGGGGTGTTGCTTAATAGCGCTTCATGGATATCAATCTTCAAACGCGCTCATTTTCAAACATTATTGTGTACTGGTACTTGTATTTTCAAGCAGTCAGCAGCAACAATGCGATGTGGTTCGGTGCACCACCTTATTAGAAGACGTATTGTTTTCATTTAGACACTGCAGCGTACGACAGTTTTTCAAACTCAGAGATAATGTAAATAAGATAATTGTTTGCTTTCTGGGACAACTATAAGGCCTTTTTCATTAAACGCCACACTTAAAATATAAACATTGCTCGGAAATTTGCTTACCGGTGATTGACCGATAAAATAAATATCTTTCATTCAAAAAGATTGGAAGACGTCATTTTATTTCGTCTTTACTTTGACATGATTGGGCAGCCAACGATATCGATCAAATCTCTTAGGTTTATTGGTTCCGGAAAACTTTATACAGGAATTTTACAGGTAGAGGTTTTCCTAGACAATCCGCTATATAGTATTTCCATCAAACTCCTTTGTTAACCCTCCTCTCTTTCTATATATATATATATATATATATATATATATATATATATATATATATATACACGTTGTTTCGAAATTGCGTCTCAACAGAAAAAATAATTAAAAGAAATTCGCATATATCAAAATATCATTTCTGGTGGCCATGCTTATTCAATATAACGTTACATCTTTAATTTGAGATATAAAATACTTACTAATCCCTATCAAAAATGTGCCATCTTTAATCCGCGGATCCCCTTTGTACTAATCGTAAGCC